TTTTGTAAAGTAACCTGAAAACAATGTGCTGTTTTCATGGACATTTTGTGGTGATTCGTGACAAAAACAAAAACTGCCTTGACAGTATTTAACATAGTTTAGTAAAATATATTTGTATAGGGGTCATATTTGTATTTGTTTTAAGGGGTCATATGATGCGATTTCAATTTTTCCTTTCTCTTTGGAGTGTTACAAGCTCTTGGTGCATAAAGAAGATCTGTAAAGTTGTAAAGACTAAAGTCTCTAATCCAAAGAGATATTCTTTATAAAAGTTAAGATCAGCCACGCCTACCTAAAACGGCTCGTTCTAACACGCCCCCACATATCTACGTCACTCTGTGGGAAGATTTGCATAATGCCGCCCAAATGTTCACGCAAAGAAAGAAGGCGTAACTTTTATTCGCACTGTAGTATTGTAGTATAAGTCATTATAATCCGTAATTATGTCCCCACTGGATGCAACAAATGCCTCGTTTATAATGGGTTTTAATTTTTTTGGCTCATCGCTCCGGCCGGGACAAGGCATCACAGTATGTTAAGGGGCATAACATTTCCGTCATATGCTTGAGGTATTCGGCCAATCACAACGCACTGGATAGCTGGCCAATCAGAGCACACCTCGCTTTTCAGACCAATGAGCTTTGTAAAAATCGACGCGTTTCAGAAAGGCGGGGCATAGAGGAGAAACAATAATGTACAGTATGTGGAAAATAATGTGTTTTTTGAACCTTAAACCGCATAAACACATTTCATTACACCAAATACACAAAATAATGTTCTTTTTAGCAACATCATATGACCCCTTTAAGAAAAGTAAAGAAATTAGTTAAGAAAATATGTATTGTATGTATCATGTTATAAATAAACATAATTGGTTAAAATAAACAAAGCAATAATTTACATTATCACAAAAACTGCATCAGACCAATGAAAACCCTCTTCCTGTCATTGCAGTACATAATGCACCATCCTGTGGGATGTGGCAAATTAAACTGAAATTCGAATTCATGAACAGTCCCTAATACGAGAGCAGAAACCCTCCCCAGCACCCACACGTACATGAACATCCTGGTACATGTGAGGGGCACCTGCCGAGACCTTGATGCCTGGCAGAGGCACAGTCAAGGGCTGGACCCTTTGAGTGGCGGCATAGAAGCGTCTCTGTGGACAGAGAGACAAATCATCATCTACTGACCTGCACTTCCTGCGGCAGAAACTTTACTGGCTCCACGGCTGCCGCAACATCCACCTTATGGGCAGCCTGGGCTGCATAAAGCCTCCTCTGAAAATCACAAAAGACATCACGTCTCTGAAGAAAAAGTGTGTCCAAAAAGAGCAGAATAAAGAGAGGAAGACCGAGGCATGGGACAGCTACTAAACTGTAATCCTGTGTTTGACAAACAAGAGTAAATAAGAGTGCTACAGGCCCTTCTTTTCATGTTCATTTAGGTTGAAGCCATTATGACACCAAAAAACATGTAATAAAACATTCAAAGCTGTATAAACTCATGTTTTCATCTAATAAATAACTAAAAAAAAGTAATGGATAACACAAAGACATTCCAACATGGACACAGTTCAAGAGTGCAAACCAAAGGTTATGTTTTAATCAAACATAAAATTGATTTTTTTTTAAATAAAATAATGATTTTATATTGCAAATATATTTTATATTTCCTACATTGCGTCAAATTTCTATTTGTATGTTCTATTTAATTTTTTCTTTTATATCCTGTTTGTTTATGCTCTTTTCTTTATTTATATTTTTTCCAGTTCTTTAAATAATAAATCTATTTCCATGTTCTTTCCTATGTTTTTTTACACCCATGTTAACTTTATTCTATGAAAGGAAAGTCATAAAAAGCATTTCACTACACATTGTACAGAGAGTGGTTGTGTGACATAAAATTTGGATTTTTATTGAATATTTGTCTAAAAAAAATGACTATTTCAGTCACTTTAGCATAATCCTTTAAATTAAATGTTTTTAATATCATGATAAACAAATTCAGACAAGTGTATGAACTTCTCACAGGTAGTGTAGTTGTTGGTCATCAAAAAAGCTGTAAGACCAAAATGTGCAACAAGTCTAATGCACTGCATGTCAATAAGGATAAATATTCAGTAATATAATATTCAGTAAACATTTCTCTCGATCCCATATTGCATTTATGGTGCTTCTCATTCTGTCCTCCTCAAATAATATTTGGACATATTTATGGCCAGTAATATTTCACAGCCTTTATACATGAAACTATATAGATCCCTTTAGGATGGGGGCTGCAGATTGAAAACCTCTGCATTTAAAACATGGATTAAACTACGAAGGTAATGAGATGAGATGACATACACAGAGCTGAACTGTCAACTTTCTCTCTTATCTAGCTTGGTTGTCTGAGAACACGGCCAGCGTCTGTGCGATCTTGAGAACCCGCACAAAACAACACAAAACCACGCGGCACAACCTCGACTAATCATCTTTAACCCCGTTAATCAACTTCTCACCGATAACTGGTTTATTCCCCGGATCCCCCTCATCTTCTCTCTCTCCTTCACACAGACCAACGCAATATGGCTGACCTAAGGATGTCCTACCCAGAATCCTTCGCGCTCTGCTTCTCTAGGTCGAAACGGAATTAAAGCGCAAGTGCGCACTGCCGCATGGCGGCTCGGAGCTCGCGCAGCGTTACATGCCAGTGCCACATTAAAGTCCGCATGAAATCAAAATTGACTTTATTTACTTTACTAGCGCACATTGCTAGTAATGATGTGAACAATTAATCCGTGCAAGTTAATCCGCTGAAAAAATTCTTTGTCTTCATAATCTGTCATCAAAATCTGAACATTTACTTCCGCTCTGGAATGGCATTCCTTTTCTGATGACGGCTAGGGCAGAATATCCTTCTAAACACACCCCTCCAACCGTTAGGTTGCTATGAGTGAGAGACAGAGAGGAGGAGCGCAAAAATAAAACCATGCCCTCTATTCAATATTCCGTTTCAGCTGGAAATACGTCACTACACTGAAATAAAGTCGGCAGCAACTTCCGGTTCACGCGGACTTTAAAATGATTGAAACAATGTTTTACGTTTAATTTACACTACTGTCGCGTGAACACAAGTGCATAAATATGCCTTTTACGAATGTTTTTACGAAAGTGTAATCTAATTAAATGTAAGTGTCACTTTGGAAATGTAAGTTACAGATTACAAGTTACCCTATTCAAAATGTAATAAGTTATTATTATTTATTATTTAGTAATTTAGCAGACGCTTTTATCCAAAGCGACTTACAAATGAGGACAATAAAAGCAGTCAAAACTAACAAAAGAGCAACAATATATAAGTGCAAATGACAAGTCTCGGTTAGCCTAACGCAGTACACGTAGCATATGGAGGACCAAACCTATGGAGGACGAAACCTGCAAAACAATAAATACACAAATAAATAAATAAATATGCAAATAAATAAATAAATGTCTGTATAAATACACAAATTCTTGTTTAAATACATATAGAAAGAATTAAACGTGATTAAAGTAGGCAAATAAATTAAATAAATTAAGTTTTAAGTTAAATGTTTAAGGAAATGCTAAACATCCTATTTATTTTCCTTTGATCGCTCATTTATTTCTGAATGTAGTTCCACATTTATTTTTCCTCTGCCCAACATGCTAATGAGAGGGTGTCAACCATGGACTTGGTCGGGGTCATGTCATAGCTGGGGGCGCGGCTTTCCCGCTGACAGGAGATGCATGGTGTAAATTCAGTATGGCCTACGTAAAGTCACTTTTTCCGTTTAACAGAGCAAGATACATAAAAAACTGAGCTGTATTGTCCGTACAGTATCTGTGACTTTACAAACGACCCAAAGAAATGGCCAGTGTCGTTTCCTGACGTCATTTTTTGTAACCCGATTGAGTCTCCAGCTATAGACAACTGTAATATCAGTATCCCATGGTCATCGTGAGATGACTGGTATGAAGTGGTTTAATCGAGGAACAGACCGTTTTTTTCCCATTAGTTATCAGAACAGAAAATACAGGCGACAAAAGTATGTTTATTAAGCAAATAACGGTTCAGTATTGCAATTAAGAGCTATGTAAGCATTAATATTTTACATTGGCCACTTAAAATCTTTTATGATTTAGCTCTCTCATGATTATAACTACAAAACTAACCCTATGAAAAAGTGTAAGATAATAATCAGTCACCTTGACTGATGAAGTTAATACGCATGCGCAGGCAAACGCTCAAGCGCGTCACACACGATCCGCCTACTCTTGCATAATTGACACCCTCTCATTAGCATGTTGCGCAGAGGAAAAATAAATGTGGAACTACATTCAGAAATAAATGAGTGATCAAAGGAAAATATGTAGGATGAGTTTAGCATTTCCTTAAACATTTTCCATTTGCCCACCAATTTATTTTATTTATTTGCCTACTTTCATCACATGTATAATTATTTATTTATGTATTTAAACAAGAATACGTGTATTTATGCACACATTTATTTATTTATTTATTTGTGTATTTATTTATTGTTTTTGCAGGTTTCGTCCTCCATACACTGTCTATAAACCCTTACCATTTGATATGAAGTATCAGTTTCATTTTTGTTATTTTATTATTTGCAGCTTGTTTTATGTTTAGACAGTATTGGTTCTTTATAGGATCTTAACTCTAGATCTCACTTTTCATTATATCATGTTTATTAAAGTTACTTAAATATTAATCTACGTTATAACTGACTCGAGATCAGTTGAAACCATTACAGTTCATGGGTTCACGAGATCAACTATCTTGCAACGAAACATCGGGGTTTTTTTCGAAACCAGTGCTGAATTCGAGATGGGGGAGTAGTTTATTCTATACATTTTTTAAATATTCTTCATACTATTTAACATTATATAAGGAACGTCTTTAAGATCAAATGTAATTATGTTTAATAAAGATTAAAAAAAAAAAAAGACTGCCGGAAGTGGGTTAAATGAGAGCATGCGCAGTGTGCCGATCACAAACACGTGTTGTGAGTCGCCGGAGTGCTGAAGATCCTAGAGCTTCGCTGGTCATTATTTCTTTTGTTTATTTGCTAAACTCTAGACGTGTTTCTGTTTAGTTAAATAGTACTGTCCTCCGTGAAGCTCTTGCCGAGAGGACCTGTGTGTTTATAAGTTACGTTAGTCACTGATTAAAACGCATCAAACACAATGGTGAGTATCACGTGTGGGGTTCTTTACTAGTTTAGGCTGTTGCTTCACGACATTCAGCGTGTAGCTATTTGAATTTTGCCTGCCGAAATTATAAAAGTGTTTATACATTGAACCTTATTTGGATATGTTTTTGATGTGTTTAAAAGCATTTGAGTTGTAGATCAGAATACCGTGTTATCAGACATCACGCAGATAATCAGTGTCGTTTGGTTAACTCTCTGGAGTTGAGTGCTGATAACGCTTTGCTCTGTTTGTCATCTTAACACAGACTGAAGCTGAAGTGAATCCGAAAGCCTATCCTCTGGCAGACGCCACGCTCTCCAAAACCATTCTGGACCTGGTGCAGCAGGCGTCCAACTACAAACAGTTGAGAAAGGGGGCAAATGAAGGTAAATACCTCCGTTAACAATGCGGGTATCACAGGTCCATTACTTAAACTTGTAAAAATCCAAGTAATCACGCTTCTGCTTAATAACCTAAGTGTGTAATTTGTGCCCAACTAGGCTCATCAAGTGGAAGTGCACAATTGTTGATGTAAAAGGTTTTTTTTTTTTGATGGGTTGATTATCATTTATTCTGTTTTTAGTTGTATATATTTGTTCATAGTATTTTATTTTATAACATTTTCTGAGCATCTTAAATGGTAAGTTTGCTGATTTTCAACCAGCTTTGCATTGTTACAGCATCGACCGTAGGGGTGTGCGATATTGACAAAAAATAATATCTCTATTTTCTGGGATTTTATCGATGAAGATAATTAGACGATATTTTGCTGAGTGTGTTATTGTGCTGGTACCTTAAGGACTGCCGAAGACAGCTGACTCATAATGTTTTTAATATTCTTCATATTCTGTGTGGTGGTCAGTTCATACTGATAGAAATTAATATTTTCCAATAAGTTTAAACCGATTTTTACATTTTATGGGCATTTTTACCTTTATAAAGCCATTTTTTCTAGAAGTGTCCATTATCTTTTGAGTCAAATTCTTACATTTAATCAGGGAATTAGAATAATAAGTCATGCAGTGAAAGAAAACACACTAAATGCGCACACGCACTAGTCTAGACTTCACGTAATGTATGCGTGCGCTCTGTAGGGATGTTTTGAATGTTTTTTTGCAAAATACTCGATAATGTCAAATCGCACATCGTTAAAACAACTATTACGATATTATCGCAGACGATATATATCGCACACCCCTAGTCGACAGTATAAGTAAATTAACATTGTGTATTTTTCCATGTTACCTGCACCAAGATATCCTAATTTTTTTGTCAGCAAAAGTCCACCGGATGACGTAAAACATTCGGTAGACTTTTGACAGATCCAGGGCTTTTTTTTTTTTTTTTTTAACTACACAACTTCTGCCTTTATGTCAGGTGCATTGTGGGTGTTTAAGTTTAGTCATGTCTTTTCTCTAGTCATGTAGCACTGATAAAAAATAGCATTTCTACTGCATAGACAGGCAACTTTTATTAAACACCCAGCAGTATATTACCCCTTTAAAGGGGTCATATGATGCGATTTCAATTTTTCCTTTCTCTTTGGAGTGTTACAAGCTCTTGGTGCATAAAGAAGATCTGTAAAGTTGCAAAGACTAAAGTCTCAAATCCAAAGAGATATTCTTTATAAAAGTTAAGAGTCAGCCACGCCTACCTGAAACGGCTCATTCTAACACGCCCCCACGATGTGGGAAGATTTGCATAACGCTGCCCAAATGTTCACGCAAAGAAAGAAGGCGTAACTTTGATTCTCGCTGTTGCCGCCGCTGCCATGTTGTGGAGTCGCTGTGTGTTTCGTTGTGAAAGCGAAACTACTTTGTTTGGTCTTCCAAAAGAGGAC